AAGTAGCAACAATGGTGCATTGGAATATCTGCAAGAAATATCATTTGCCTGCAAGCAACAATTGGTGGGACCACAAAACAGAGTAATAGAAAATGAGAAGCTAAAGTGCTCTGGGACTTTAGAATTCAAACAAAATTCTGGGGCGTTTTGTGACAAGCACCTGCTACAAAACGCCCCAGACTTAACAACTGTTGATAAGAAAGGCAAAAAAATCTGGATAGTGGACATTGCAATACCTGGAGAAAACAAAATAGTAGGGAAAGAAATGGAGACAATCACAAAATACAAAGACCTGCAAATAGAAATAGAATGACTCTGGCAAAAGAAAGCAAAGATAGTACCAATAGGAATAGGCGACTTGGGTGCAATCCCAAAACATCTGGAGCACCATTTGAAGGCCATCGACACTGACAAAATCACCATCGGTCAATTGCAAAAGGCAGCTTTACTTGGAACAGTTTACATCCTGCGACAATGCCTGTAACACCATCAAACAACGTCTGCCTATCCCAGGTCCTTGGGAAGGACTCGACAGGTGGATAAAGACACCAAATCCAATCTAAACAAGTGGCTGACTGTGCGACCAACAATAATAAATTTATATGCCACCCGACTCCCAGTGACAATTGATCCACAAAAGAGGGGGGGCTTACATTACAACATTCCATCTGCCTCCTTACTGATTAGACTGCTTGGGGGCATCACTATTACTGCTCTTTTTAAAAGCAAGAATATGTTATGCTTATTATATTTGTTAGATTTCTATTTCGCACCATTCATAGCTTTCCATCCTTCTTTTTTTTTTTTTCCTATAACAACTGGACTAAGAGAAAGTGACTAGGCCAAAGTCATCCCGTGAGCTTCAACAGCTGGGGGTGGACTAGATCTGGGTCTCCCTGCTCCTAGACCCACACCTTCACCACTAACAACACATTGATAGTTATCTTACAAAAGCCTGGATAAACAACCATATCTCAAATTCTTTTCTAAAACAATTGGTGGTAAAAGATTATAGGGGCTATAGTCCCAATCACGTGATGAACAACAGATTGTCTGTCCCTGCTCTATGCCATTACTCCATACTGGTTTTGCTGCAATATTATTGTATAAACAGAGAAAGCACCTTTATACATACTCAAACCATCTGGCCCATCTATTTCAG